CAGCACATAGGTCTTGGAATCAAATCGGCATTTAGACGAATGTTTACAATCTTTCTTCCTCCTGTTTGGGGTCGGGAATCCATTTGTCGTGGTATGGGTGGGGGTGGGGCTGGCCTAATGTGAGCTAACAATCCTTTCGTAGAAAATAAAAGGTGACTTATTAGAGGTTTGATGAAATCTGATGTGTTAGGCCAAAAGGCTCAGATATCACAACTCAATTGTTAACCACAAGGCACCATGCGAACCGCCCTATTAATAGGAAATCAGAAAGGAAAGAAGAAGTAGCCGCCGTCCCGCATTCACGCATGTTTGTCCTCCGTCTCAGTAACGTACATAAGAACCAAGCAATATTGCCCCCGGACTACCACAGGGTTCGGCGACCTAACCAGTGCTCTTCAAAATATATACAAACAAGATTGTAAAACTTGAAGCACCGTGGTGCAAAAACTTTTTGCCATTCGCAGATGTCTTGTATATAGCCTGGATGGTCAACGTAAGACTCACTGTTTTCCTGTGCGTGCATTAGTTTAGAATACAACTTCTATAAAGCAGCTGTTTTAGTAATTGATCCTAGGTATAATCCTCTCAACTATTTAAAAAGGTGTATTTTTGGTTCAGGATTTGTTCGTTAACCTGTTGCAGGCATTCGAATGTTGTTGTTCAACAATATATGACGTAATTTTCTGATATCCTAATGGCTTATCCTAATTCTGTAAGCAATTTAACCAGTAAAATAAATTTGAGCTGAGATGGACTGTGAAAAACTACCCAAAATAAAGCACAATATAGCAGTATATAGTGAATTAACTCCGCAGACGGTGATAAAAAAAATATTATAAAAAAATGCAGTCATTAAAAATACATCATATATATATATATATATATATATATATATATATATATATATATATATATGTGTGTGTGTGTGTGTGTGTGTGTGTGTGTGTGTGTGTGTGTATTCAATTTTGCATGAAGAAATATAAGTTGCTCAAGTCAAGTCCATGGTAACAAAAGCCCTTGCTAACGAGAATTGTATTTCTAAAATAACACTCGTGAACGACATAATCTGTTGCTGTTTTACGGTTTGTTGTAATGCGCAGAGAAAAATCAATTTACAACCGGAAAACATGCTCTTTTCAACTATGACCCGCCAATGCTTGTAGTAAATGTCGCAACAGAACTGAGAGTAAACGTGTTTATGTTTGTGCACATATGTGTGTGCATGTGGGTGGGTGTGTATGTGTGTGTGTGTGTGTGTGTGTGAGAGAGAGAGAGAGAGAGAGAGAGAGAGAGAGAGAGAGAGAGACGAAGATGGTCTTGAAAATATCTTTCTTCATCTCCTCTGTTTATCGGGAGTAAGTCCCAGCGGAACGTCCTCGTTGTTCGTCCGTTGGATTTTGTGACAGGGCGTGACGTTTGCGTGTACATCCGTTTTACTAGCGAATTTGTGTGCAATTCGTTGTTCCTTCGAAGAAAGCTCCCAATTAGTCGACTCCTACCACATGCTTTTGGAGAGGCATTGGGTCCGTTCTTGTTGTCCCAACAACGGGACCTGGGGAACCCACACGTGAGAATCTGCTCTAACATCTGTATTCTCACATGTGTTATCATAAGCCTCTGACAGTGTTATACCTCAAATGGGATAGAAAAAAGGGGAGGGGTGCGGGGATGGAGAGGGGGAGAGACTCGAAGTCGGACTGCATCTATCTGAAAGGCGAAGAACCAACATTTTATATACAAATACATTAGATCTATTCAACAGAGGCGCACGCCAAAATCAGCAGGTTTTGGAGCAAGACCAATGTCCAAAAGTGGACCAACGCCCAGATCACCCCCATCCCCACTCCCCCAGGAGTTTACTGCCGGCGAGCGATAAGAAGAAGAGGAAGATTTAGAGAGCCAACACAATTACGACTTGTTGGGAAACGTTAAAGAAAGTAGAACTTTTTCGAAACACTGTGAGAAAGAAGCAGACGAAGAACAGCGCTAAGACATAAACGCCCAAGTAATCTAGCAGGATGATTTATTGTGACGTGTTTTATTCCGGCAGTTATTGAGATTTCATTATTATTATTATTATTATTAGTATTATTATTATTGTTGTTGTTATTATTATTATTATTATTATTATTATTATTATTAATCTGCATTCGTCCTTGGAAGGAAAATTGGAACGTTGTGTTGTGGCTTAAAGCTAACTATCTACTTTTTTTTCTACGGTATCTACGGTTCCTACGCCATGCATCCGACTTCAAATTATTCGTTTTTGCCTTCAACGACATACTTGAGGAGGAGATGCGAGTCTCATAAAAATCCCTTTCCCCCCCCCCCCCCCCCCCCCCCACACCTGCAATTTTGAAGGGGGAAATATGAGGACTAAGAATCTACGTGATAAATTCAACACATTTTGTAAAAAGAAAGAACACTCTTCTACGCCTTTAGGCACAGTGGGCATATAGGGCTAGGCCTATGTTTTATAAACCAATCAGCACTGGTTAGGTGATGTGGTGATCACCACGCTGGCCTCCTTTAATTCCCAGGACTGTACCTGGTTCCCGCTCTAGGCTGGGTAGATGAATACACTAAAAGTATGAACTAGTCGTTTATCTTTTTTACTTCTGTCACTTGTGTACTCATCACGCTTCAGTCTGCTTAACTAATATCCATGTGTGGATTTCCGGCGAGGGTAAATGGAGTAAACCTACTGTCTCCCTAACAAGCATGTCGTAAGAGTCGGCCAATTATGGGTTTCCTTTAAAGTTGGAATGCATCTGAATGAGAGGCAAGGAAACATCATTCTGCATAGAAATGTGCCAGAACTGTAAAACGGATATGCCCGCAAAACTCAAGTTCTGGAACAAAACTAAAGTTCACATGTGGACGAACAACCAGAACATTCCGCCAAAGCTTACAGCGGTGAACACAAAGAAAAAAAGTTTAACAAATAAATTATAAAATACAGTCTTGTTTTCCGTGTATTAAGTTTATTTTCTGCTCTTCTACTACAGGTTCAAGGATTCTGCAGACCATCTAATTTTATGAGCATCACGTAAACATCATTGATTAGGGCCTGAATTGAGCTTGCCATTCCAATTATCAACAATTTCCTGTCGAAATTACATTGGAGAGAATCAGCATTACACATAGACGATGCAAGCAAATGGAGAGATACACACTGGAGAAAATCAGCATTACCCAAGCAAGCAGATAGAAAGAAGCACTTTATTTATCCACATCGTTGTTGATAACTAAATCATCAACAGTTGTCACTAACAACAAGGAATTCTAAACTGTGATTGACGCTGTTGTATAGTTTTATAACATACACATTCACATACACGTCTATCTGTCAGAATATCTTCCTGAAAATTTACAGACATCGGTAAAGAAATACACGTTGTGTGAATAAAAATCACATACTTTCGATTTTATTTTACATCCAAAGACATATTTATTATCGTTCCTTGTAAATTATAACCGTTTTCTGGCGTTGATAATGATAGAGAGAAAAAAATCTTCATTTCGACAAGTTGCCGGGAAAGCTAGATTTATTGTATAATTTGCTTTTGTGAATATATCATGATCCAAATTCATCACAGAGGATTTCGTGGGGTAAATTATACATTTAGATGCTACAGTGTTAACTTCGGTTCATACAGTATGGCTTCTTTGACGATTGGTGTTTCCTTCTGGGATCTTTCTGTTGAATTTAAACATCTGAAAAATGAATGGTGAATGTAGTGGATATATATAGAGCACAGTAAAGCACAGTAACCATTATTTCAGTATAGTTATGGATAAGTATTGATAGGGACACTTTTTACATAAAATGGCAAAGGTGATGATAATATAACAGGCATTGTTGAGTACGGTTTTGGTATGGTGCAGCAATTCAATAATATTATACGTATATATCGCTGAAGAATACAGGAGCTGAAAACAAACGGATGTGTATTTAATATTTACAGCTGTGTTTACAATAAGGATTTAAAATCACATATAAGAACTTTTATGAAAGAGTTTTTCTGTGTAAGAGTTTTGCTGTGGAAGAGTTTTGCTGTGGAAGAGTTTTGCTGCGGAAGAGTTTTGCGGTGGAAGAGTATTGCTGTGTTATATTAAATGTGATTATATTGTAACCATATGAGAACACTGCTGCTTTATCTAACACTGTTATACAGGAAAAAAAGCGTATTCTATTAGAATCTTGAATAAAGCATCTTCTTGGAAATGTTTGTTAAAAAATAACTCTGTGAGTTTGAAGAATACGACTCCGGTATCAATCTAAGACGAATGGATACTATTAATTATGTTTATAACTCATTTCCTCTACTGGAATGTAGAGGAACAGAATACCTTACGAGTATTTATGTTTATTACATATGCATCTTCCTGATCAAATCTAGTTCGATGCTACCATTATGGACTCTGAAATCCCATGTTATAAAGGATTCAAAACGTCCTAGGCATGGGGGACTCTGGATGTCCATGGTTAGAGACGAATTACCTTCATCTTGTATGGGATTCTAAACATCCATGGTAAAGGGACTCTAAATGTCCACTATAGAAGAGACTCTGCACATCTATGGTTGACGGGGCTATAAAAGTGAATGGGAGAAGACTAATAACGTTCATGGTATGTGGGACACTAAATGTCAACTAAAGAAGAGATTTTACACATCTATGGTTGACGGAGCTCTAAACGTCAGTGGTAGCACACACTCTTAAAGTTCATTGTAGACGTACCAAAACGTCCACGGTAACAGAGAAGCTAAACATCAATGACATAAATCAATGTAAACGTCCAATGTAAATAGGACTAAAAAAAGTCCATGGTAGAAAAGACCCTAAACGTGATAGAACGGATTCTAAGCGTCTAATAAGGAAAGAACAACATCAGTGGTAGAAGACGTCTACGAAAGAACAGGTTTCTACTGTTAATGCAAAGAAGATATTTTAACTCAGAATCCAAGTGAGTTCCAAAGTGACCCCATGACCTCGATATGTTCTCTGTCAACGTGGTAGACATCTTATCATCCATCTTGCTGTGTGCAGTAGTTCTTCTCGTACTGGTCGGTAACACATTGGTGGTCCTAGCAGTGGCTACTTCACGCAAGCTGAGAACCGTCACCAACGTCTTCATTGTCAATCTGGCTTGTGCTGACCTTCTTCTGGGAGTGCTGATTTTGCCTTTCTCTGCTGTGCTGGAAATTAAGGACATTTGGATCTTTGGGCGCATATGGTGTCAGGTAAATATTGTGTGCTGTACTGTAATTAGACATTGCCGTAGCTCATATTCTAGCCAATGGCAGATATAATATTTGTAAATCTAGTACTATATACAATGCCCCACATAGTATGTATTCCGATAATTGCTTACCAAACCTCTTGACTGTCCTATTACATAGGTAAATCACAATTAAAGTAAATTGATCACATTTACGTCATTGGGCTTTGGGGTATATGATCCCAAATTATTAATTTTTGTAGACCAATCGGTACTCAATAGATAACGTGGTCGATATCGAGCGAGCGGATTTTTCTTCCCAGGTCATTTCTTTGTATCAGTTTTAGGTGAAGTTACTTGATCAGTGATGAAAATCCGCCTTAACGCAGACTCCCATCGTGATATTTTTCTTCCCAGGACATTTCTTTGTATCAGTTTTAGGTGAAGTTACTTGATCAGTGATGAAAATCCGCCTTAACGCAGACTCCCATCGTGATATTGAGCACACCACCCATTGGTCTAAAAACATACGAGTCTAGCAGTGTATGCCCGTTGCCCGATTGGTGTCTAAAGGAATCTTTATTTTTACAATGAGGATAAACTTACAATAAATATTTTGGTCGGTAAACAGGCATCCAGTCACTGCGCTACGCCGGTTTTCCTAAAAGACAACGCTGCTAAGTTAGGATCATTCCGTTCTTCCGGTCAATGGTGTTCATCTGTGCTGCTGAAGGCAGAGGTGTCATAGGAATAACAGTACATGGTGAAGGCCAGCCTGGCCAGCAAGGCAAATTTGCCTTACGAAAATTCTCTGGGCAGTGGCTGATACCGATTCTACGGATCTTTTTGGTTCAGTGTGTAGGTGTTCCCGTGTCACAGCAAATTATAGGGTGTTGTCAGTTCTGTAGATCAGAGCAAGTTATTATTCTACGCCTTAGAACAGGACACAATCGACTTGGCAGCCACATGTAAAAAAAAAAATTTAAAAACGGCGAATCAGCCATGTGCACACGTGGACTAGCACCTGCGACAACAGATCATGTCCTCCAAGACTGTCCCAAATACAATATATTAAGGCAAAACTTTTGGCCAAGACAAACATCCTTGCAAGTCAAACTGTAGGGGTCGCTGAGTGAATTACAAAAAACAGTGAAGTTCATACTAGACACAACATTACATATATAGATAATCTTTTTCAAGCGAATAAAAGAAGAAGAAGAAGAATTCTGTATATCAGTGCCGTCCACACGGAAAAGGTTTATTTCACAGATCCAATGTTTCCTTATATTTCTACTGAATCCATTTCACTTTAGCAACTCTGCTGCGAAATATCTTTTTATCTTCTAAACTACCCTTTAATTTCATTATGTATGTATATGCTCATGGCAAACTACTGGTTGTAAATTTGCCTAGAAAAACCACACAACAGCCAGGGGCTGTTGGGGTTGGTTCTGCAACGTCCTGTAAAGGATACGCAACTAACCTATGCATATGCTCTATCCACTCAGAAATATCACAGATATTTTAACATTAAAGAGGTATTTAGATCCATGTACCAATGTTTGTGTCTGTCTCTGTAAGGAGCAGAACAATGCCCTTTGATAACGGCATTCGTTTCGTTGAAGCCATTTTCTATCAATGTCACCCCAAACAAAGAAGCTTTCTACAAGACTCAGAAACGTTAACTTATTTTGCCCATGATCGAACAGTTGAAAATACTGGAAAGGTCACGGGTAGTGAGCATACTTTGGATCTTTTCTCCAGGCTATGCCGGCTTGGTGGGGAATGAACAGGCAGATAGATTGGCTGGATCTGCACCACTGGGTGCTGAATTAATACGTGACAAGGCAGATGTGGTCAAAACCCTTTAGGAACAAGCAACGGAATTAATAGAGAAAGAAGATTATTATAGTCTGGATAGAATGAGGCACCTGGGTGTAACCAGAGGGTCTGGACGGCTGATTACACTCAACGGAAAGGCAATAGGGACATTTAAACCAGATTATGACAGGTACCATCAGTACTGGAACTCTGCGCTGGCTGCTAAAGATGAGGACGGAGCATGCATGGGAATTCCCTGAATGCTGTGATGTCAATTCTTGACTCAACTCAACTCAACTCAACAGTTGAAAATGTCCCATCAAGAAAGCCTCGCAACTGCTAGTCTGTTCCTTTTTTATTATTATATGTTCAATTTTTTTTGACATTGTTGGAGACTGTGCTGCAATTCCAGGTCACTGCAACATTGAGGGAAATTTAATAATAGACCACTTAGCTAAAATTTTAAGTCATACACTTCAGATAGATACAGGATGTACTCACGTGGAGGGAAAACTCGGATTAGTGCAGTGGTTATAAACCCATTGCATCATTCCCACCCAGAACACAATCTTGAAGACTCGGTCAACCTCCTCACTCGAAAGATGCAGATCATTGTATTTAGACTGCATTCTGGACACAAGTGACTCTACAGGCGTATGTACCAGACACTCATCAGAACTTTGGTCCTGTGCACAGGCACGACAGAATACTTAAATGTGCAACAGACATGCTCTCTAAATGCAGTAGAATGTTGAATTAAGAATCGACATCACAGCACTCGGCACACTCCCATAAGTGCTCAGCCCCATCTTCAGAAGCAAGCGAAGAGTTCTAATTCCGATGGTACCAGTAACCGTCTGATTGTACATCTGTCTCATCCTTCCCCTGAGTGTTGAGCTTCGGCCAGATCCCCTTGTAACTGGCAGAGCCAGCCAGTCTATCTGCCTACTCATTTCCCAACACACATGGCCTGCAGAAAATATCCATAGGATGCTAACTACCCGGGACCTCTGAAGTGACGCTTGCCACTCTGCAGTAGAGAGATCTCAGGCGTGGCGGCTGACATTCCGATGGAAACTATTCTGTATGGAACAGTGCATACCATGCGCCGCACCACAGATTTCACACAGGCCTGAGACTGTCTATTCCAGCAGGAAGAATGAAAAGAAGAAGGCCCCAGGTTATAATGATGCCTCTGAACTTTTTATTTGAATACAGGTAAAATGGTCGTAACTTCACAGCAATGGGTCATCCCATTATTAATCCTTTCATGTACCGCCGAAAATCCCACCAACGACCTCTACAGACCATGGGTTAGAATGTGAGGACTTACGGTCCTTTATGGCGGATATCAGGGCGGCCAGTTAAATATTCGAAGTGCTGTTTGCTTCTGACCAAAGTTTACGGTAGCCAGTTAAATATTTCGAGTGTTGTTTGCTTCTGACCAAAGTTTACGGGGGCTACTTAAATATTCGAAGTGCTGTTTGCTTCTGACCAAAGTTTAAGGGGGCATATTTGTCATATTCGGTCCTGCATTACAAGATTCAGTCACCAAGCACTGAACTCAGTAGCTTTGTAAAAAAAAAAAAAAACTGTAAGGTTTCGATTAAATATAAAATGTTTATTTAGAAGACAAATAGTTTTGTCTGTCACGTTTTGATTGAATATAAAATGTTTATTTAGAAGACAAATAGGTCTGTTTGTGGTTTTTAAAAAAAAAACTGTGTGATTTTATGGATTTACAAACCGCTCGACAAGGCACATAGAGTCTCATAAGGTACACAGTGCACTTGTATATTTGTTAAGGGTCGTTTTTTGAACACTGAACAGTCCACTAAAGGAGCTACAGTAGATGTCTGGTGATAACAGACTTATATGTGGAGACTTCAATGCCCAAAACCGTGAATGGGTTAGATCAGGAAAACTCGAAAAAAGAAGTCTTTGAGAACGTCATTGCGGAATCTGTATGTCTGCAAAATTTGTGACAGACCAGCAAGGACATTGATAAGACCAGGGGGTGCAGACTAGTCAGCTGGGTAGATGAACCAGACACTTCATGGAAAGTACTTCAACAGAGGTTTCCGAACTGTGTGTCGACTACATTAGTTTGCATACGTTTAGTGGAAAACTACAGCCTCTTGATCACTGACAGCGTGAAGGCTATGTCATTCATCATCATCATGTAGCAGGTCCTTTGCAGAACGTCGCTCTCATCACAGTCTGCCTGAAAGAAACTCGGTCTCTCGCCAGCTCTTCCGCCTCATGTACTTTCATACTCACGGAGTCACTTATATCCTGTGCCCATCTTCGTGTCGGTCGGTCGGCCCCTGCCCCTCATTGCTGGTACCATGCCTTCAGCTATATTTTTTTCCAGTCCGTCGCGGCGCTTGATATGACCAAAATATTTCAGCTTCTGAGACAGGATGCTGTTTATTAGCCAATCTTCATTGATGTTTAAGAAATGTGAGATAGTCTACGATTCACATCCGTATGTTGCTACAGGGAAGATGCATGATCTCAAAATTATAATTTTGATCTCCTTGCTGGTGCTTATCCAGAGACTTTTAGGGCCGTTCAATCTTTGCATTGCTATGGCCATCCTCCTTTTAATTTCTGTCGAACAGTCTCCATTGTTATTTATTTTAGAGCCTAGATATTCAAAGCTTGTGACATTCTCCATTTCTTCATCATTTATTGTTATTTTTGGGTGACAGCCAGTTTTATCTGTGGACATCACTGTGCTTTTAGACAGATACTATTAAATTTTCTATTCCCTTTACGCTGTTCGAAAGGAGGGCTGTGTCATCTGCATAGCGAAGTTCCGGAATAGGGTTGCCACCAATTTTGAGCGGATCAAAACTATGTAGGACAGAAAAGCTATGGTCTCCGTTGCGAGGCGGTCAAGACATTTGCTTCGCGCTCCAAAGATTGTGGATTTGTTTCAAGTACGCGTAGTTGAGTTAGGAGGGCAGTTTTTATAGAAATTCCTAATGATCGTCGCTGAAGCCTAAGAATTCGAACTTTATGTGACCATCTCAGCAGGTGGCGGGGCGTTCTGCGGAGAGAGATAACCCGCTGTAATGAAGTCGACCGTCTTGACCAGTGGCTCTCAACCTTTCTAATGCCGCGACCCTTTAATACACTTCCATCGTGTTGTGGCGACCACCCAGACAACTGTTTTTCTTTCATAACTTCAATGAATATGTGTTTTCCGATGGTCTTGGGAGACGCATGTGAAAGAGTCATTTGACCCACACACAAAAAGAGGTCGCTACCTTCAGGTTGTGAACCGCTGCTCCTGGCTTTAACTTTACAGACATCAGAAATGCAGCTAATTAAATATAGCATTAGTAGTCACATACAAGTTACATGAATACGTCGTCAGCTGGAGATATCAAACTAATGACGAATAGAGCACAAGACACTGCACCAGGTTTTGCATTGATAAAGATATGTTCAGGTACAAAATTTCGACGATACAGAACTTGGGGTAATGGCCACTTTTTGTTATATGGCCCGTGACCAAGTTGTTAATTCTAAATTAGGCCAGAGGACCAAAGTTGCGCACCCCTAGTCTAAATTAACAGTAGAAGCAAACAGAGGGAAGACAAGATTTCTGTTTTACGCTCTGGCCAAATTGTAACAAGCGAAATGGCACGATTTTTTTTATACATATTAAAGAGCCAGTCATTACTTGGGACTGGAAATATCAATTTTAAGGTCTACAAAAATCTATAAATGCTATGTATGGTCTGTATTGTTTATTCTCTACTATCTTGTTCTGATTTTTTTGTTTTTTTGGTAGGTGTGGCTTGCTGTTGATGTCTGGCTGTGCACGGCTTCGATCCTCAACCTGTGCTGCATCAGCCTAGATCGCTACCTGGCAATAACCCGCCCAATACGGTATCCAGGCCTCATGTCTGCACGCCGAGCCAAGACTCTTGTTGCCGGGGTCTGGCTTTTCTCGTTCATCATAGGATGCCCACCTCTCATTGGTTGGAATGACACTTTTGAAGACGGCTTAGACCTCAACGGAACAACTATGACACCTCCTATCACCACAACCACAGTGGTGACGACTGAAAGTATGCATCCAGCGTGTGGCACAGGCGCGTTTTCACGTAACGGTTTAACTCTGAATGAGTCGTGTGTAGTTACACCAGAAAGAACATTCATTATAACATGCGAATTAACAGGCTCAAGAGGCTATCGGATCTACGCAGCATTTGGGTCCTTCTATATTCCAATGTTAGTTATGGTCTTCTTTTATTTACAAATATACCGCGCGGCCATGAAAACTATCTCAGCTTATGCCAAAGGAGAGCTGAAAACCAAGTGTTCTGGCAAGGAAAAGGCAAATGGTCAGTCAACAAACTCAGTAACGCTACGAATTCACAGGGGAGGTCTCGGTCGAGAGAGTCGATGTGGGCATATTCAAAGGAGTAGTCCGACAAATATGACGTTTCGAGAAGGGAACGCCGAGAAAGATAGAGACTGTAGGCATTTAGGTCGAGGAGAAGGATTCGTAGGGCAAACTTCCATAAGAAAAGCTAGAAGTAGCGATGCCAGCTTGGTGACGTTGACAGATCTTGCGTGCGAAGTTCTGGACAGTGATGCAATTAATCGAAATTCACTGGCGGATGTGATAGAGAAACGTTGCAAGTCGTTCTGTTGGAATACAGAAAGGCAGTGCACCGACTGCAAAAATTTGACTGTTTGTAAAGAGGAAATTCAAAATGGGCACACTTTCTCGTGCCAAACTGGGAGGGACGCGGTGTATTTCATTAGACTCTGATGAAAGTTCATGCAGTGATATTAAAAATAGGATTAAACGTCCAAGTGAAATTAAGAGAGCATCACCGCAAAATTCCTTACCCATAGCTTCATCTGCATCAGGTCAGACAGTAGACACTGGCGTTGTTTTAGTCAGGGGAGTGTCAACAAGTGAATATACGCACAGAAGACCTCGCTTCTCTACCCAGAAACCGGCCAACGCCATGAAGCTTCACATGCAAAAGTTTAACCGCGAGAAAAAGGCTGCAAAAACTCTTGCTATTATCGTCGGTGCATTCATTGTGTGCTGGATGCCTTTTTTCACTACATATTTAATAGAAGCCTTTTGTGAGAGCTGTAGCTCGCCGCAGCTTTTTTCTGTGGTATTTTGGCTGGGATATTGTAATTCTGCAATGAATCCTTGTGTTTATGCGTTATTCTCAAGGGATTTCCGATTCGCGTTCCGAAAATTGCTCATGTGTAGGTGTCAGCTTTTGCGCCGAAGCAGGAACTTTCGACAACAGAGCTCTGATGTTCCTGCCATTCAGTTGCATTGTGCGCCACAGGATGAAGCTAGGAGCTCTTCAGATTTAGAAGGACAATGGAGATGACCCCTGCCCCTATTCTTTCTTCCGGTTCATTGATTGTGTACAGAATGATCTTTGACAACACATTTAATAAATTCCTATTTAAAAAGATTTAAAATGTTGCCATATCAATGTTTTATTATATACACGATTCTGCAGCTTAGAATTATTAAACGTGCTTTCCAGTCCTCGTAGAAAGACAGAAGTACACACTAGACAACATACAAATCGAAAGCTTCAGTTACTGTACCGGGAATAGATCTTGTCACCTCAAAATGACTATGGAAATAAGTGTACTGAGAATATGACCAACTAGGCCCCCCCCCCCCCCCCCCCCCCAAATGTCTTCATTGGCCATGTTTAACGTACAGCTTGAAATCCACATCTATGGAATACGGACAGAATTAATCTAAACCCATTGAAATGGCACCATACGTTACAGAAATGTATATTAACAAAAAACAGCTCGAAATATAAATACAGCAACAGTTTACAAGCACAGCAAACCGTAATGCTTGGTCTAGAATACAACGAACATTTTTTGTGTGTGGAAAAAACAAACAGGTAACAACATACTATTACGAGAGGACTGTCTTAGAGCGTTCCTTCTAGAAACCAGAAAGGTACGAGTATATTGTTGTGTCCAGTCTGAAGATTCAAGACAGGGCATACCCTACTGAACAAGCTACATGACAGTAGATAACAATGCCACCTAACCGACGAGTAAAGACATGCAACTGTAGTGGATATGTAACTGAGGGAGGCAAAAGGCTGAAGGCCCGCAAGCTGGTCTTGATTTACGTGTATATTTCACTATTTGATTACTGCAGTAAGCGGGAGACCTTAGTGCTTTGTGCTTTGCTTATTAAAACAAAAAAGTGTCACGCTCAACCAGCGTTCCTGAAGGTGGAGCTTCAGGTTGTCATCGTGACTAGGTATGTGCGCCATATGAAAGGCTTAGCACTGCACGCCACCAAGAGCCTTGAAAAACACTCCTGCAGTACTGATGCGATCAAAGCAGACAGATCCGAATACAGTCACGACCGGCGACCAAGTCCTCTACCGGCGAGCCAATGGGCGAGCTGGCCGCCGATGTGAAGTGCTCTGTGCCCGGATCGGGGTAGTTGTCTGCGCAGACTAAAAGCTTCGACGCCGTTGATCGTGTCTGAGGACAGCCCATGGTTGTAGCCGGAATTTGTATTACTATTGGAATTTCTGCTTCTGATAGCTTGTTTGCCTACTGGTTAATGTAAGGTGTTATTTTCATTATTTGAAGGCTGCAGTACGTGGTAGACTGTGCCCGGAGCAGATAAAATTTTCTGTAGCTATTATCTATAACTCAGACGCAGTGGGCCGTGTCTATGGACGGTCATGTTTGTGGTCGGAAACTGGTATTCCTAAGAGAATTTTTGCTTGAGGTAGCATTAAACATCATTAAAAGTCTGTAGCCAGCAAGGAAATCAAAATTCAATTTTGGAGAGCGTGCATCTTCCGTGGACTATCTCCCAGTCGTTAAGAAACAAAATAGGAGCTTTTGAGCCGAAGTACGATAGACAAATTCTCAGAATACTATGGACAATGAAGAGAAGAAATAATGAAATTTAAAACGATTTGAACATCAAGGAAGATTGGCTAATAAACAGCATCTTGTCTCAGAAGCTAAATGTTTTTGGTCATATCAAGCGCCATGGCGAATTGGGGGAGAAAAAAAGAACAGAAGATATGATACAAGGAAAGAAAGGCAGAAACCGACCAACACGAAGATGGATACAGTTTATAAGCGACTCCTAGAATATAAAAGTACACGAGAAACCGAGTTTCTTTCAGGCAGACAGTGACGGGAGTTACGTTTTGCAAAGAACCTGCTACAAGATGTGTGTGGGCGTGCGGCGTGTATGTGTTGTTTAGGGGGAAGGGGGGGGGGGGGGTTATTGCTGGATAAAGGGCCTTTAATTAATTCCGTGTGCCAACCGACCAGGACTTCTGGCAAGCGAAATACTTTCAGTCATCATGTCTTGATATGCTCTATACGTGTAAAGGCGGGAAAGGGGGTCCTGTCCTTTTTTTTTAAACATCATGTCTTCACCTTAAAATGTCGATGTCTATGGCAAAGGCGTTGCGAACGCCGAGGTGCCGGGTTCGATCCCAGCTGCAAGCAATTTCACAGCAGACAGTCTTGCGTTAGTTCTGATAATGGTACCGATAGCTAAAAGTAAAGGTAAAGTCGCGAGATGTGAACCAGCGTTATTGCACACGGTTATAAACCATAAGTGCTCTGCCACCAGTATGGACGGCTGATAAGAAACTGCCCGCCTGTGTCGCTGTTCGAATGCAACTCTGTAGCTACAGCGACGTTCCTCCATTTACCCCAGAGTGTCACTCTGGTACCTATTTCCTAGAGGCTGGGTGAACCACGGAAGCCGCCCGGTTTCGAACACCGACCTTGGCTGCAGCGAGTCGCGGCTGGATTTGAAAGCGAGTCTCGTATCGACTGCGCTAAAGCGGCTCTCGAGCGCCATAGCTATAGCTGATCGTTCAGATGCAATGGCAAACTACTATACGTAATTTTGCCTAGAGAAACAACAACAGCCAAAAAATGCTGGGGTTTTGCAACGTCCTATAAAAGATTCGCAACTTTAACTTGCCTGCCCGTCGGTCGATGATGCCGTATCAACCTGCACATAGCTTGTTAAATAAGGGTGTGTGCCCTAATGTGAACCTTCGGAGTGCACACGCCGTATACATAACAGGTACTGAAACTTGACATCTGCAGAAACATCTAGGCTACTTTAAGATAAAACGCGGACTCGGTGAAGGATCATTGGAATCATAAGGACAGTGCAATACAACAGAGAACCCATGCATGGAAAAACTAGCTGAATAGGGTACGAGATAAAGTATTTGAAAGATATTCAACATTAAAGGGGAAACATAGAGGACTTTCAATCAAGTTGCAACTGGTACTATTTAGCATGTCAACTTTTCGTTGGCTACTAAGGAAAGAGATGAAGCACGTGTGGGAATGTCTCGAGTGCAGGGATGCCAATTCTTGATTCATTTATTCATTCATCTGCAGAAACACTGAGAGGATCTTCTTATTCTCTTCCGTCGGCTACCTCTCCCAAGTCTTGGGAGAGGCAATGGATTATCTAAGGATCTTGCACCTCATTCTAATGCCTTCATATAAGGTGATTTTCATTTCTTTAAAGCAGTGTTTTGTGCTGTCATGTCAACTTTTCTGTGGTCCTCTTGCCATGTGTCCATTTATATTTCTTCAGCGTGTTTCTCTGCAGCACTTGGTATCAAGGTCTGGTCAGATGGCCAAACCATCTCACATGTTGCTCTTGAATGAAGCGCATGACTAGTTTCAGTCCTAGTTTTTTTCTTCTTTTTCTTTCCCTTTCCATTTTAAACATGTTATCTCTTTGTCACTTCGGCAGCTTTTTCTAAGATTTGTCATTTCTTTTATGATATTCACATCACCGAAATTAAAATATTAAGACAACGAACACGGGTTATGATTCACCACAATCGTGCAATCCACATTGAGGCATATTTTTTTTTAAACTGACCGTACCCAATATCTTTTCGTGACTAAAAAGGGGTGCTAAATAATGTCCTGGGAAGTAAAAGTGACCGGTCTGATACTTACCACATCTGTAGACTGTCGACTGGTCTATAGCAGTGTAGGTCTAGTAAACTAGTACTATTTGCCCGATGCACTAAAAGTGTGAAAGGGGTTTGCTAATTTTTTTTTTTTTTTTTTAGATCAAGAATTAATACAGTTTTAAATAATTATGCTTAGGCTGGGAAAGTTTTGAGTATGGGGGAGGGGGGGGGGATTTTTTATCCCATATTGATCGGTCTATCTCGGCAGAACAGCTAGCCGCCAACCGAGAGCACTGCACGAAACACAAACTTTGTAGCTCCAGCGAGATTCTGACATCCCCATTCAAAATTGCACTGAACTACTACGCCACGGAAGCCCTACATGTTTCACTGTTGACACACCCCAAACCTAACACTCAGAGGAAGCGCCATAAAAGTGGTGCCTATGTCTAACCGTCGCCAGTGCTTTGCAGTTCTTATCAGCCCTACCTAAGTGGGCACCACAATCAGCTTGTACGCCCATTTCTCTGGTTCACGTGATATGGCGGGTACATGGGGCCGTTGCTGATTAATAATTTAAACCAATTCAAAGTTAGGAATCAGGGATTAAGAACCACATATTACATGTCAATCTGATTGCTAATTTTTGTTTTGAGCGTTTATATATATTTTCACTGGTCTCACCGGTGTGTTGGGAAATGAACAGGCGGACAGACTGGCTGGCTCTGCATAACTTAGTGGAATACAGATACAGATAGGGCGGACATAGTTAGTGCCTTGTGGGAGAGCGTGTACAATTCGGAAGAGCAGATGGATCACCAGTCTGGTGAGATTGATGCAGTTGGGGGTGACGAGAGGTTCTGGCAGATGCTCGAGGCTCAGAGGAAAGGCAAGACGGACGTTTAATCAAAATGCTACTGGCACCATTAGTATCGGAACTCTTCGCTGGCTGCTGAAGATGGGGACGGAGCGCTTATGGGAATGCCAGGAGTGCTGTGATGACGGTTCATGAATCAAATCAAATCATATATTATCAAAACAATGTCGTTACTCTACCGCTTCTTTCTTTAAACATGCAACTGTGTTTTTTTCCTTCTTGCTCGCTGATGATGGCTTGTTGCTGTAACCTCCTTTGTTTACTGCTGTGGCAACTTTTAAAAACTGGCTAATTTTTCACGTTTTCCAATGAAATACACACAAGGAAAACAAGCAGATCGCTGGCACATTGTCACATGCGGAAACATTGATACTTTTATTCTGAAAGAGTTTCTAAAAACAAAATAATTTAAAACGATCTCAAAGTCAGTGCCAACAAATGGAATCATGAATTCCACATGGCAATGATGAACACATGTCATCGAATCGATACAATTTACATGTACATTTTATTTACATAGACAGGCATGTACGATGAT